ATGGGCTCAAGCATGGCAACAGTAGTGAGGTTGGCCCAGAATCCAGCAGTGTTTCGTTTGCTGTGCATAAGGTCGCTGTGAGCCAGTACCGACTCAATAGCACCTAACAACAACAACAACAACCTCCATGAGTATAGGTCAAGTTCATCAAATTGTAGCAATTTACCCTCGCTTCCTTTATCAAAACAGTTTTCTTTTTTATCTTCCTCTAGTTGAATTCCGATTGTTAAACCATCGAGGCTAGGTCAAATGGGTACTATCTGCGAGTTTGTATGTTCTTGTGCGTCTCTCCTTACTTCATATCAGCTGGATCCTTCACTCTCAGCTCTAGCACTTCATGGCTATATCCTTGTCCATGGGCTCAGGAGTCCCCAGGTCTCATCACACTTTGGAGCAACCAGCCCTTTCTCTTTTCTCTCTCATCTCCAGGTCAATGGGAGTCTATGGAACATGGTTGAACTCAGCCATTTCTCATTGTTGCCTTTCCCCTCATAATAATTCTTTAATGTTATGCATTGTGTATATGTACCATTCTTCCCTGGATGGGCATTTTGTTTGTTTTCATCTTTTTGCTATTGTGAGTAGCGTTGCATGAACATGGCTGACTAGTTGACGGCCATCGAGTCTTTTCCAGCTTATAGCAACTCTTTATCAGGTTTCTGAAACTAAAAATCTTTATGGCAGCAGAAAGCTTCATATTTCCCCTGATGAGTGCCTGGTGGTCTGTAACCTTGTGGTTAGCAGCCCAACACATAACTTACTACACCACAAGGCTCCTTGCTGAAGTGAACACAATTGTACATGTATCTTTGTGTTATGGCTCTTACTTCTCTAGGATTTATACCAAGAAGAGGACTTGCTGGCTCATGTGATACTGCTATTTCCAGCTTTTTAAGGAAGTTGCACCCTTTCACACTATCACTAGTAGTGTATGAGGGTTCCAGTCTACATTCTCACCATTATTTGTTGTTTTCTGATTTACTGACTTTGCTTTTAATGGTGGGGTGAAATGATTTTTCATTGTTGTTTTGATTTGCATCTCTATAATGGCTAATGATTGTGAGCATTTCTTTCTAAGCTTGCTGGTTGCCTGAATGTCTTCTTTG